TGCCAGGTGTTCTTTTATGCGAATACTTAGCACTCGTCCTATTTCACGAATATACACCGCTTTGCAACTAAGGCATTCTATTTGATATACAACTCTTGCTTTTCCGCAGTCTCCAACCCTTCCATATGGACATACTATGCAATTTTCTGATATCCATTCGCGGTCGTAAATTCTATTTCTGACGAGCTGCCTCTTAATGCTACGATTCGGAATGCTTATTAAGATTACATCAACTGGAAGGCGTAATTGATTTTGTCCGAAATGAACAGAAGGCGGAAGACAATTATTTGTTCACAAAGTGCCATGATTAGAGCCGACTGTAAAGCATTTTTTACAATTTTGCATGTTTTTTTATCATTTATTGTCAACACTTTCAATTTCTTCTGTCAAGTTCAAATCAAATGTTTTCTGTTATGTTTAACGTTCATGACAGTTGATTGTTCCCTCCATTTTCATTTTTCAGTGAATCGAACTCGAAAATGTGTATTAGCCGCTCTGCGACGGTTGGAAAAAGCGTCGAATTGTTCGCAACAACTTGACATTTCTCATCTTGCCTGGCTGGATGAATGCTATAAACAAGATATACGCCGTTTATCAGCGGATTCCCGAGAGCAAAAGGCGGAAGGTGAGGCGCTAGACGTGTAATCCATGTCGTTGATTTTCCGCTGTCAGAATATGGAGCTGTTGTTCCACTTTGGCACCTTCACGAGGAATTTGAGAATTGTAGGGGCTTGCTAGAAATAGTTTTTCTGAAAATTCCGCACCTCCGTGGTCTGAAAGAAGCCTCACAATTCTTTGGTGCACTTTAAGTCACAAAACCCATATATCTCAATTTTGAAGTACAAAAACTAGAGAATAAGTGAGTCGCATAAATGACGGCTTCTTGTGAAGTTTGCTGCCCTCAGTAACCTCCCGACGGACGTATTTAGCCAGATTTATTGCTTGCGAAAGCGAATATCCTTCAGCTCAGAAAACCAACAAAAGCCAGTTAAGCTAGGCCGTACAATCCCTGAGTCTGGCACTTTTCCAGAAAGGCAAGGAAAGAAAGGCAGTGGAAATTTTACGGATGAAAATGATGATGGTTATGAATACTGGTCACTTATGGATTCAGTACTGTTTTGTTTCACTGTGATAACAACGATTGGTGAGAGACTACTGCTATGATTGGTCAATGCCCGATCAATACCGTACATTCCAGGTTACGGTAATGTCGCTCCGCGTTCATTCAATGGACGATTGTTTGTTATACTATACGGCCTCGTAGGAGTACCCTTCACAATGCTCGCCATTGCAAATCTGGGAAAATTCCTGGCTACTGTGCTAAAAACCTGGACGCGACCCTTTGTTCGATGTGCCAAGTAAGTACCTTTAGTTTTTTTCCAGCCAGACATCGGCTTTTACGGCTTTGAAGAACTTACGGGTTTTATAGGCGATTGAAGAGGAGGCTCTGTAAGCCGAAGTACACGGCGAAGGAAAAACAACGTTTGATGGAGAGAGAGTCAAGGAAGCCAGCCAAAGTTAGTGCTAGACAGACGTTTATCATTTCTTTACGTACAAGTCAATGAGCTCACCTCATGAGAAAAGATGGGGTGAGGGATGGGCGGGGGGGGG